AACACAACTGCCGCCCATCCTCCCTCATTAACATCATAGAGGCAGGATTTACAACATATAGGAAAACCACACAATACCAGGAATCATGGCCCGGCCAAATTGATGCACACATTTTTGGGGGGACATAATTCAATCCATGACACTTGCCAAACAGGCAGAGACTAGGCTGAGGGGCAGAGAGAGAGAGAAGCCTGCCTGCAAGCACGGCTGAGAAGCTGTCCTGATCGAAGAACTGTATCCTGAGTTGTTCCTGATCCTGAATTGTAACCTGTTTATTCCCTTACAAACCTCATGTCTGTGACTATGGTCTGTGAGTTCTGTGTGGCCATTGCAACAAATCATTGAACCCAGCAGAGAAATAAGAGAGTGCTGTGGAAGGGATGGCTAGTGTCAGAAATGGTAAAAAGATTGGAGGGTGGAGGTGTGTCTGACCTCCACCTTGTAACAGTCAGCTTTGGGCGTGATGCTGATACTGATTCTCCTCCCTCCTTGTGAAGTTAGACAAGGAGGTCCGATGCCCCGACACCATTTTTTACCGTAGGTCATACCCCATTTTTCAAAAGTCATTTCTTTTTTCTATCTTTTTTTAAAGTCATTTCTTATACCCAACTTTCAAAAGTTTGCTTATACTGGGTGAGCAAAGTTGGTGTTTATAAATGGTGTGGAAATAATTTTAAAATAACAATTTAAATAATTAAACGCTTTTGTATTATTTCCATTTTCCATAAATGATGGAAGTTTTTTTTTCTTTAAGTGTTTTATAACAATTAAGTAGCCCTGGTGGTGCAGTGATTTAAGAGCTCGGCTGCTAACCAAAAGGTCAGCAGCTCGAATCCACCAGCCGCTCCTTGGAAACCCTATGGGGCAGTTCTACTCTGTCCTATAGGGTCACTGTGAGCCTGAATCAACCTGATGGCAATGGGTTTGGTTTTTTTTTTAATAACAATTAAATATACTTCCAATCACTGCTTCTAATGGAAGAAGCTATATGACTGAAAGAGGAACATGGATGATACTACAGTTTTTGTTTATTGTCATCAAGCTTGCAATACAATTTAGTCAGCAAATAAATTATTTAGAGTTTTGTTTTCCTTTGCTGTGTATACCATTAGCTTACTGTTTGGATGCAAGAAAAAAGCACTTATAAAATCAGCCAACAGTAGTAAGATTAGAATGTTTTTTGCCTTGAATTGTATAGTTAGATTTTTTTTTAAATCTTAGACTATTTTTTAGAGTAGTGTTAGGTTTATAGAAAAATTGTACAGAAAGTACAGAACTCCCATATATCCTTTCACACCCCTCCTCCTCCCCATATATTGTTTCTCCTGTTGGTAATATCTTGCATTGGTGTGGTACATTCATTACATTTCATGAACCAATACTGATGCATTATTATTAACCAAAGATCTCTTTAAAGTGTTCAAAAGCAAAGATGTCGCTTTGATGACCAAGGTACACCTGACTCAGGCCATGGTATTTTTATTTGCCTCATATGCGTGCAAAAGCTGGATAGTGAATAAGGAAGACTGAAGAAGAACTGATTCCTTTGAATTATGGTGTTGATGAAGAATATTGAATATACCATGGACTGCCAGAAGAATGAACAAATCTGTCTTGGAAGAAGTACAGCTGGAATGTTCCTTAGAAACGAGGATGGCAAGACTTTGTCTCACTTACTCTGGACATGTGATCAGGAGGGACCAGTCCCTGGAGAAGGACATCATACTTGGTAAAGTAGAGGGTCTGTGAAAAAGAAAAAGACCCTCAGTGGCTGCAACAGTGGACTCAAACATAGCAACGATTGTGAGGATGACGCAGGACCGGGCAGTGTTTTGTTCTGTTGTACATAGGATTGCTATGAGTTGGAACCGACTCAACGGCACCTAACAACAACAGTTTACATTAGAGATCACTCTTGTGTTCTGTAGTCCTATGAGTTGTGACAAATGCATAATGTCATGTGCCCATCATTACAGTATTATACAGAGTAGTTTTACTGCCCTAAAAATACCCTGTGCTCCACTCATTCATCCCTCCTCCTATCACCCTGAGTCCCTAGCAACCCCTATCTTTTTACTGCCTCTAGTTTTACCTTTTCTAGAATGTCATATAGTTGGAATCATACAGTATGTAGCTTTTTCAGACTGGCTTCTTTCAGTTGGCAGTATGCATCTAACGTTCTTCCATAGCTTGATAGTTCATTTCTTTTTATCGCCAAATAATACTCCATTGTATGGATGTGTCTTAGTTATCTAGTGCTACTCTAACAGGAATACCATAAGTGGATGGCTTTCACAAGAGAAATTTATTTTCTCACAGTCTAGTAGGCTAGAAGTCCAAATTCAGGGTGTCAGCTCCAGGGGAAGGCTTTCTCTCTCTGTCAGCTCTGGAGGAAGGTCCTCATCATCATCAGTCTTCCCCTGGACTAGAGCTTCTCTGCGCAGGAACTTCGGGTCCAAAGGACACGCTCTGCTCCTGCTACTTCTTTCTTGGTGGTATAAGGTCCCGCATTCTCTGCTTGCTTCCCTTTCCTTTTATCTCTTGTAAGGTAAAAGGTGGTGCAGGCCACACCCTAGGGAAACTCCCTGTACATTGGATCAGGGATGTGACCTGGGTAAGGGTGGTGTTACAATCCCACCCTAATCCTCTTTAACATAAAGTTACAATCACAAAATGGAGGCCAACCACACAATTCTGGGAATCATGTCCCAGCCAAATTCATACACACATTTTTTGGGGGACATAATTCAAACCATGACAGGATGTAACACATTTTTTTAATCCATTCACCTATTGAAGGACATCTTGGTTGCTTCTGTAGTTACATATTTGTTAGACATTTTTGAACATTATTAATAACATTTAAACTTTGGATTATGTTTGTGAAGAAATATAGTGAAATGTTAAATACATATCCAATTCTTCATCTGCCTTGAATAGTTAAATAATCTTTGGGGTGATTTCATGGTGTATAAATGTTACAGCTAGTATGCCGTATGTGGATTAAAGATTTTTATTAAGCAAACTGGTTGTATGAAATCACTCTTAAATATTTAGTATACAAGAAAAACATGTTTATTGTAGAAAGGTAGAATATACAAATTAACACAAAGGAAAAAATTCATAGTCCTACCACTGGATTGATTGTATTCTGATTTTGTTTTTCCCTTGTGTTATTTCTTTCAGAAATATGGCTACACACACCTTTCTGCAGGAGAACTTCTTCGTGATGAAAGAAAGAACCCAGATTCACAGTATGGTGAACTCATTGAAAAGTACATTAAAGATGGAAAGATTGTGCCAGTTGAGATAACGATCAGCTTGTTAAAGAGGGTAAGGAGTGTGAATACCAACCAATTCAAACCAGCAAGAAAACAGACATTAAGTCCACCTTTTATTTGAATAATGAAAAAATCAGGATATTGAATTCCTTGCTTGTGGAAGGTGGTCATGTTTTAGGAAGTCATGGTGTTTGAGAATGGAAGAACTGGAGACTCTGCTTTCACCTGGGAAGAAATGCTGCTGTTGGATAGTAGCAAGGACTCTTTCCTTTGGTCTAGGATTAGGAGAGCTCAGTTTAACATCCACATATGCACACTTGGCTATTCCTTCTCAACATTCAGACAATCATTCTCTCCTTTATTTCTTCTTCCTTTTTTCCCCCCCTCTTTTCGGTCTTCTTGTAAGCCTTCTTTGTTTTTTTGTCTCTTTTTCTTTTCAAACCCAGGAGCCTACCCATTGTTGACATTCTCTCAATCTTGATGTCTGCATTTCTGGTGAATGTATACTATCTTCAGCATGTATGCTAAGATTAATAGCTATCAAACTAATATATGTCCCCTCTAAAAAACAGGCATCTTGCATTGATTTGATAACTACCCACTATAGACTCCTAAGACTATAGTCATTAGAAGATATTTTCACATATAAGGAATGGTGAAGGAGAAATGCAAGAGTGGGAACAAGAAATAGCTGAAGCCTGATGGGAAGGAGATATATAAGCATCTGGATGGAACCAGAGCCATGTGAGGATGAAGAGGTGACTCATTCGCAAATGTTCTTACCCCTTGTCTCAGGTTGGAGGAAGTTGCTTCCATTCCAGAGTAAATCTTCTCTCCTTATTCTCTGGAGCTAATCCCCTTCCTGTATTTTGTATGTAAACATTATTAAAGAGTAATCTACATACTTCTTCTAATCATTCCTCAACCCTTTGCAGTCAAGTTCTGTTTCAATCACGATTGAAACTGTTCATGCTGATGTTGCCAGTGATCTTCTTTATTAAATCCAGGGGATACTTTTAGTCATTATTTTTCTTGTATCATTTAACCCTAATCACTTTTTTTTTGAAGCTCATTCCTTCTTTGTTTACTGTGTCAACATCTCTCTTCATTTTCTTCCTACTTCAGTGACTGTTCCTTCTCTTTCTCCTTTAATAATTCGTCTTCTTCTGCAAGTTTCCTAAAATATTATGCTTCTCAGAGTTTCATCTTTGGTTCTCTTCAGCTCTTAAACTATATATAGTTTCTTGCTCGACGACTTTATCCATGGTCAAAGCTTTCACTATCTTTATAACACCTAAATCTTTATCGCAAGCACAAATCTTTGTTCTGAACTCCAGACCAGTATTTCTAACTAACTGCCAGGTATCCATCTGAATGTCTCACAAGTGTCTAAAATCAACATGTCAGAGGCTGAATGTATCATCTAAAATGTGATTTTCATTTATTTCCTATCTTGGTTAATGATTCTGCCATCTACGCAGCTGTCTAAGCCATCTGCTTAGCTGCCCAAGACAGAAAAGAAACAAACCACAAATCTGGGAGCTATCCTATATTCTCCTCCTCTTCCTCACTTTCCCAAATCCATTCAGTAAGCAGATCCTTCTAATTATCCTTCTCTTAATCTTCTGTCTAGTCTCTTTTCTCTATCACCACTGTTGCTTTAGTTCAGATCCTATTTTTTTCTTACCTGGATCATCACTACCAAAACCAAACCAAATCAGTTGCCATGGAGTTGATTCCAACTCATGGTGACCCCATGTCTATCAGAGTAGAACTGTGCTCCATAGGGTTTTGAATGGCTAATTTATCGGAAGTAGATCACCAGGCTTTTCTTCCAAGGTGCTGCTGGGTGGACTTGAACTGCCAACCTTTCATTTGGCAGTCAAGTGTTTAACCACTTGCTTCAGCTATGGATTCCTGAACCATCACTGTTGTTGTTGTTAGTTGCCCTCCCTCAGAAACAAGAGCCATGTCCTTGCTCTTCACGGTCCCTGATAATAGGCCTTGAATAAATGTATATTGAGTGGGTAGTCACAGATGTGCCTTCTTCAGATATCTTCCATTACCATAGTTGGGATAAAAATGCTATATAACAGGGGACCAAGAGCATTCTGTGAAAGCTTTGTGAATATTTGAGAAGATATGTGCTAGGATAAAGCGTAGCCCCAGACAAAGGAATCAGGGGTCCTCACAACTGTTTTTCTTCTTGAAGAACCTGGAAACAGTCTAAGCATTTGAGGGCAGAATATTAAGTCTGACACTAATAATTAATGCTAATACTCTCCTTATATTTGTCAAAGCTTTTTGCATTGTACTTGAATTATAGCAGAGTTGGGTACCTGTAGAAGCAGCATATTTCTAAACATAGCAAAATGACTTGGAAAGGGGAAAGAGAAGGCAAGGTAAGATCTCCAGTGGCTAGAGCAAAGCATATTCGTTAATGCTTATTTTTCTCTTATTACTGTTTATTAATAATTTTGTGTATATGTATGTGAAAGTACGTGACCAACTGATGGTCAGCTATTAGAGAAAAACCAAGTGATATTTTACTTATTTTTGCATTTTATATTGGCATCTTACATACTGTAGAAAATTTGGAAACGATGGAAAAAAAATATTATATATGGTGCCCATAACTGGCATCTGCCCGTAACTCTACCAGCTTGGAACAACCATATTAATATATTGGCTCATTTCCTTCTAGTTTTTTTTTTTTTTCTGTGCATCCTCTACATTTTACTTATGGTTTAAAGAATAATAATAAACACCGTGTATCCACCACCTGCTTAAGAAATTATATTTTGTTAATATAGTATTGAACCTAAATCTCCCTTTTTCCATTAGGAAATGGATCAGACAATGGCTGCCAATGCCCAGAAGAATAAATTCTTAATTGATGGGTTTCCAAGAAATCAAGACAACCTTCAAGGTTGGAACAAGACCATGGATGGGAAGGCAGATGTATCTTTTGTTCTGTTTTTTGACTGTAATAATGAGGTAATGAAAATCTTCATCAGCCTGTATGGGCTTTAAGCAACTGATGGTCAAACAAAGTGATTTTTAACTTATATCTGCATTTTATAATGGCAGTAGTATTTTTTGAGTTGGTAGGTTAGATGGACAGAATGGCACTGTCTGGCTGTTGGAATATTAAAAACTATTTGGTATCAGCAGCCTTGTGGACCTAAAATTTGCTTTATTTTCAGAATAACAAGTGCTTGGTTGTTTCTTTAAATAAGAATTGACACACACAATAATGTTAGCTATAGAAGCTGAACTAGTATTTTCTTAAATATGCACTACTATCAGACAGTGTCTCACCTTAGGATGTTGTTTACTGAAAAGAAACACATTTCTAGAAGTTGGGAAAACTGTCTGTTTTAAAGGGGTGTATGGAAAAAAAAGAACAACCTATTGCTATCGAGTCGATTCCAATTCATAGTGACCCTATATGACAGGGTAGAACTGCCGCATAAGGTTTCCAAGGCTGTAAAGCTTTAAGGAAGCAGACCGGCACATCTGTCTTCCGTGGAGTGGCTGGTGGTTTTGAACTGCCGATCTTTTGGCTAGCAGCCAAGCGCTTAAACCACTGCGCCACCAGGGCTCGTTAAGAGACATATAAAAACCAAAACCAAACCTATTGCAATTGAGTCAATTCCGACTCCTAGTGACCGTATAGGACAGAGTAGAACTGCCCCACAGAGTTTCCAAGGAGCGCATGGTGGATTCAAACTGCTGACCTTTTGGTTAGCAGCCTTAGCTCTTAAACACTATGCCACCAGGGTTTCCTAAGAGACGTATAGAACAGCCTAATTTGTTTTCTAACAGTGAAATGATCTGGAGAAAACAGGGAAGTGTTCATTTTCTTTCTGACACTTCTAATAACATACCCAGACTTACCTTTGAATAACTAAATGAATTTCTCGGAATCATTTAATTAAAATGCCTGACTCTGTTTGACAGCTGCTGTAATATAAACTTCATTAAGTTAATGCCAACATCCTGAAGGAAGAAGAGTCTGAAGTAGTGCCTTGAAGGTTTGCTGATCTTAGGTTAAATTGCAAATGTGCATCTGGTGGAGAGACTTGCTTCAGCCTTTGCATTGTTTTAAAATGTAACTCTCTTCTTCCAACCCCGAAAAATATGTTTTCACTTACTCTTCAAAGTTAACTTTAAAATGTTACCACAGCTTTACAACTAAGGAACGTTTATTCACGATTAACAAGGGATGCTTTATTCAAATGCAAATATGTTGACTTTTAAATATTTGGATATTTATGGAATTATTGACAAGTAAGGAAACATGGAACAAAGTTTGAAGCATGTAATTCATACCTAATAAGTTAATAATATATCCTAGATGGAACCATACACATACAGATCTTTTTATTGCAGTTTGTTTGTAAAACACACACACACACACACACACACACACACACGAAAAACTGAGTCATGAATGAATTCCTGTGCTCTGTACTTATTTAACCTAGTTTATATAAATTGAACCACATGTTTAAATTTAAAAGGGTTTTACATGTTGATTAATGAGTTAGATATGTTGGATTTAATGCAGGGATTTTTGGTAATATCTTCAAACTTCCTTTTCAGTTTAAAAGAATGGCAAATTCATATGTCTATTCTTTTAATAACTTTATCTCTTTTTAGATCTGTATCGAACGATGTCTTGAGAGGGGAAAGAGTAGTGGTAGGACTGATGACAACAGAGAAAGCTTGGAAAAGAGGTACTTTGCAATTTTTACATATTGCCATCTCAATCCCAGTATGGAACTTGAGTAACAGGTTAAATACCTGCCTTACTTTGGCCCAGAAAAAGAAAATATCATGCTTCAGTATACAAAATGGTCCATCTAAGGAGATTATGTGTGAGTCATTTGGGTAAGGTTCAGTGTTGTCCTCTGAGCTATTCTATAACATGAAGGCGAAACGATGGATAACTATGTTTGCTTCTTTTCTAGAATTCAGACCTATCTTCAGTCAACAAAGCCAATTATTGACTTATATGAGGAAATGGGGAAAGTCAGGAAAATAGATGCTTCTAAATCTGTTGATGAAGTGAGTATCCCTAGCCTGCCTTAAGGAAAAAGTCAGCTAAAAATGTGATTGATTTCTTTTGGGGTAGACAGAATAAAAACTATGACATTAGTTTTTTATCTTTTTTTTAAGACTAGAGTCTAAATGTAAGATTTAGGCTTTTTCTCCTTTTCAAATAGTGTCTAAAATGGATTTTACAACTATAGACTTGTGTTTCATGAGAAGTGGGTGGTGTATTAATTCCAAACCCCTTTTCTTAAGCACTGGAAAATTGGCATTTTGAGAATTTTTTTTTTTTTTTTTAAGTACTGTGTTCATATTTTTAAAATCTGTAACATGAACAGCAAAGTCATCTAGCTCAGAAGTCCCAGGTTGTTTTTCTTTCTTCCATCACAGAGCATATTGCTCCAGAGGTGCAGGGTTTCCACCACTCATCGCTTCTCTCTTCATTCATAAATCAGTGATCTCTAAATTATGGTTTGCAAGCCCTCAGTGCCTGGTGAAGATTGCTAGTGTCTCTTGATTCACTTAATCTCTTACCTTGATTCCCTGAATCTGCTTCTTCTGGATCTTTTCTTTTTTATCTTACAGACATTTTGTTTATTATCCATTGCCACCTCCTATAGAGGTAAAGTAATACAGGAGAAAACTTGGTGCATTAGAACTAAGAAGACAAGCCACTTTAGTTTATGTTTTATCAAATTATTGGTAATCTCTCAAGAAGTTCGTTTTGCCCTAAAAACACTAGTAAAATTGAATGCAACATGTTCATAATTTTATACATATTATTTATGATACATTACTGCCTAAAGTAAAATAGATGAAACTAAAAAATTATGTGATTTTTAAAAAATGTCAGCCATTTAAAAAATTAATATAAAATTGACTGTTTTTAGCAAGAACTTAGCCATATGGTGTTTTGACAATATCTGCTTTTTAAATTATTATTATTATCTTTTTCCTTTACAGGTTTTTGATGAAGTTGTGAAAATTTTTGACAAAGAAGGCTAACTCTACACCTAAAGACATCCTTGAACTCATGCTTGAATATTGCTTTGATAGCTGCTGTCACAACCCCTTTTTAAGGCAATTTTGATCTTTCATAATTACATCTCAGTTAATGGCTGGAAAGTATGTAGTAAGACAAATTTTTTATCCTTTTTTTTTTGTTTGTTTATTTGTTTGTTAGAAGAGTAGACAGTGAATTTAGGTTCAACTTTAGTTATGGTGCTCAGTAAACAAAGAAGGGTATCAGCAAGTTTTTGTTTTTATTCAAAAGAAACATCCCTTTTATAGTCTGCTTTCTATGAGCAAAACTTTTTTTTTATTGTTGTAGTTTAGTCTCCCATACAAAAATTTATACATACATTGTTATGTGACCCTAACTGCTCTCCCCATACTGCGACAGCACACTCTTCCTTTCCACCCCTGATTCCCCATGTCCATTCAGCCAGCTCCTAACCCTCTCTCCCTTCCCATCTCACCTCCGGACAGAAGCTGCCCGTTTTGTCTCTTGTATCTATGTGAGCAAAACTTTTTAGTATATGTGTATATCCCCTTAGTCTTGTTACAACATGTTAGGATTGGGGATCTCCAGTTCTTTTTCTTGCAGGTTGTAAATTTCCAACCTGTTAAGTGAATTTGTGGACCAAATTTCAAAGGAACTTTTTGTGTAGTTACTTCTTGCAAAATGTGTTTGGTAAACAGACTCATAAAATGACTTCTTAGAAGTGTTTTAGTATTTATCAAATAACTAAACATTTCCTATAGAAAAATAAGAAAACTTGGGCTTTGTTTTACTACAGCTTGTACAAAGTTGTGTAATAGGGCATATTCTTTGATTCCAGGGTTTGGGTTTGGGGCACTGGGGTTCAGAGCCTGGCAGAATGTCACCTTTATTCTGACATAAATCTGAGGGTAAGGGATGAGGATCACATCTAATGGCTGTGTTCCTTATGCTCTATTATATAGTATTATTAATGATTAAACTGATTTTAACAAAATTCCTAGCAGTGGAACACTGAAATGCATGTGCTCGATTTATGATAAATGAGTCAGAGTTTTAGTAACACTTCAAAGATTTTTTTGTTTTTGGTTTTCTTAGACTGAATACAGGTTTACTATAAAGTAGTAGAAGAAATGCTAATGGTTAAATTTCTCATTTGTATTTTGTTTTCTTGAATACTTTTTTCATAATTATTTGTTTAAGAAGACAACAATCATTGCACTTTGGTCAGAAAAATAATAAATATATCTTATAAGTGTTTGGTTCCCTTTCTGCCTACTTTATTCAATAAATTCTTTTTTTTTTTTTTTGTATCATGTTGAAGCATTGAAAGGTACAGCATAAAACAGCTTTAGAATCCAAAGGAATTTTCTCTTAAATCCATTCTTCCTTTAAAAATCTCTGAGAAATTTGTTTTCTTTGTTCTTATCATTTTCATCCATCACTAATGCAAAGTGATAGCCAAGGTTCTTAATATGAGATTTATTAAAATGTATCTCATTCTCAGCACTTACACTGTTAGGTGTACAGGGTTAAATAGGGCAAGAAATTTTGTCTTTGTATGATTAGAGTTTATATTTAAAGTCATTGGGAATAGTGAGGACAATTTGATGAATGTTCTTATAATGTACTAGACTCATTTATTTCTGTGTGTGTCATGAAATTCACTTATTAAAGATAAATTTTCAACATACTTGCCATTAGAAAACATAGTATCCGTAAGTTCTTTGTAATTTTGTAACTAAGTAACATATTGGCCACCAAAATTTGTACAGGCACTCCCCGGGTTATGAACATCCAACTTAGGGACAACTTGTACTTGCCCTTTAATGTTACGTAAATTTGCTCTCACTTTGAAACGATTGAACCGACTCCTGCTCGCAACAAATTCTTCATCACAGTCACCCTCACTTGCTGCACATGCGGCTTTTAAATCATTGAAAAGGCTTCGAGCCTTTTCCTGCACTAAAGTAAGGCTAAACAACCATATGCACCTGTTCTGATGTAACTGCAATAAAGACACACTTAGGAACGGATCTCATTCGTAACCCCAGGGATTACCTGTATTGAGTTTATCTTGGTTCCTTGGAAGAGATTGTAATGAATTCTTATCTAGTGATTCAGTCCAGCCATACAGGGAGACTTTATTGGTGGTTTAAACAAACTACCTTAGTATGAATCCAAAGACTAAGGTTTGGAGAGCATTCCTAATCACATATGTGAAGACATCTGTCAGATGGTGATCTAAATATTTATATTGATATTGTAAAAGCAACCTTAAGGTTTTTAAGAAGACTGTTGAGACGATGTGCTTTGCTTCCTTTCATCAGATATCTTTCTGTGGCATTTGAGAACAGAAAACCAAGAAACATAGTAATTTCTAAATTATGAGGCTTTGCTTTTAAGTAGAAAAACATGTTTGCAATATTGAGTTTTGGAGTTCACTGAGATACATGTGACTTCACTAGTTTGGCTATTCTATTTGTTAAAGATACAGCCACCAAAATGCTTTTTACTTATTTGAGAGACCCCAATTGGAGACTTGCTTTTTTTAAAAAAAAAAAAAAAAATAATAATAATAACATTATTTCCATTTAGTGATGTTGGATGTGTATGAATTGTTTAGTAAATAATCCCAATAAATTTTGTGCTGTGGCCTTTGCTATTTGCTGGTTCAGATTTTTGTTCTCTCAAGCATATTAAAGATCAAGAAGTATCATATTTAACATGTGAGTCCTTACATGGCAAAAGCAGAGTTCAGGATTCACGAGAATTTTCTGCTCTTTGTATTATGTTTGCTTGTCTGGAATTAAGCAGAGAGCGTGACTTTATCCCATTTCTTCAAGAACTAATCTGGACTGAGATACAAGTGAGATACAAGTAGCCTATTTTTTACCCGCCTGCAGCACTAATTGCTTGTCTCTTTGAGGGGGAAATTGACCCAGGCAGTGTGTCTCAGGGTGTGGGGTTTTTGTGGGCTTGTGCTTTGTCCATGTAATTTAAGTGGTTGCCTGACATTCCATTGGCCTCTGGAGATAACAGTGGCTGCAAGTATTGGCCAGACTAGGTCAGCATCTTTCCTCTGGAGGTTTGGTCCTTCATCTTCAAGCACTTAACAAATTGCACAAGACATAGTACTATGGTGACATACTCTGCCTTCCAAGGATTTTCTAATACTCTGATATGGATAGATGTCTTCTGTTGGCCAACTTCGGTCATTTATAGTACATTTCAATTCTCCCTAGTCCACCTGCATACTTTAGCTACATTAAGTACTCTTCTAAGCACTTTTTTTTTTTTAAAGTAAAAAGAAATTTATTGTGCACCAAAGGGAAAAGGGAAAAAGGGCCCTAATCACCTATCCCTAATTTCTTTATCCTTGACTGCAAGGTTAATACTCTCATGGAGCCAGGTATGTTTTCCTTTGGATAGGTGTGGTTATTGTGATTGTGATGTTAATCCTGGACCTTGGTTCAGCTCTGCTTTCCTGTCCTGGGAGAGCTGAAGAACTAGTTGAATTTCAGGCTACCACTCAAAGCCAACCATACCAACTCCAGACTATCACCAGGGTTCAGACTTTTATGGTATCCCAGCTGTCCTCACTCATCAGAGCAGAACCTGCTTCTCTTGGATCCCTCGCTAAAGAGGCTTTTCTCTTATGATTTTGTCCTCCTAAGACCCAGGCATAAGAGAAGAGAGTTTAATTATTTTGTCTTATTTAGGGAAACAAGGGTAATCAGAACATTTCTCTAGGCGAGGTTCTTTCATTTATGATACATTTTGAAGCAAATTTATGTAGCTGCCGACCACTGGCCTTTGATGTTTTAACCAACCAGAGGAAAAGCATCTGCAGAGGTAAGTTACCACATATCTCAGCTTTAATATTAGATAATCACAAACATACTTTAAGAATTGTTTTCTACACAGTGAAATCAAGCAGTTAAGCTACATATTGCATAAATAGCATATACATTCTCATTTGATTAAGAAACTGTGTTTAAAAAGAGAAAATAAAAACCAAAAAGTCATGTATATGAGCTTTTAGACTACTCTTTTGAAGGCTTTCTCAGAAATAGACTCTCGGTAGCTACTTCTAGTCTACCCAGAGGTGCCTGGGAAGAAAGACTTGGTGATCTACTTTAAAAATATCAGCCATTGAAAACCCTATGGAGCACAGTTCTACTCTGACACATGGGGTTACCATGAGTTGGAGTTGACAGCATCTGATGCTGGTTCTGGCTAGCTACTTCTATGAAATTAGGTGGGCTTTCAAGAAAACCCTTGAATTGAATAAGTTTCCTTGCTAGTTTCTCAACTCTTGCAGTCCTTTGAGAGCCCTGGGTGGAATTGGCTCTCTCACAGCTGCCTGGCTCCAAGGGCTTTGAGAGCCAGAAGGGGAAGACATTGAATAGGTTAAGCAGTCAGTCCTTAAAAGCACAGAGCTGTTGTGTGTGGCTCACACTATGCTATTTATTAGTTTTATAAGAAAGCATTTTTACAAGCGGCTCCAAAGCCACTGCCAGAACTCGGCCAGTATTGTGTCTATAACCATGATGAGGCTGCATCAAAATGGCCTCATCAAAATGTAAAACTTTTCCCTTTTTGGTTACCAGGAAACGTGCATAATAGGCACTACCCTTATCTTGTCGTTAACTGGCATAGTAGTCAAGATAGATACTTTTTCTTCAAATAATGTAAAAAAAAAAAAAAAAAATCAGCTGAAGTTTAATGGCTAACTTTTAGATTGGGTCAAAGTATTCCAACATCAAAGTGACCAAGTTAGAACAGCTATATCAAAATATCCCTGGCATCAAAGAAACACTGGTATGATCCAGTTCATCACTATGTGATACTTCCATGACCGACATGCAGGGCTGCGGGAAAGAATGCCATACATCATCAATCAAGAGATGTTACTGAACTTTATCCAAAGAATTTCGTCTTTGTTCTTGGTTCCTGAGCGATAACCTCTAAACCCTTGCAATGTCCCCAGTGATTGAAGTATCTTTGATGAGGTTTCCAGACCACACCTACCTAACAGGTGACTCAGGTAGGGGTTGGCCATGCCAGAAAGACCCACCTTGTGTTAGGGGAAGGGGAGCATGATCCAACCAATCAAGCCTATGTAATGAGGCCCCAGTAAAGGCTCCGGACATGGAAGTTCCATGGGCTTCCTGGTTGATGACAGACATTGATGCATGAAGGAGGATAGCATGCCCTTTTTTGGGACAGGGAATCTCTGTGTTGGGAACCCTCCCAGAAATCACTCTATGTGTCTCTTCATTTGTATCCTTTTTGCTGTAATAAAACTATAATTGTAAGTATAGTGAAAAAAAAAATTCCTGGCATCAAATAGCTGTGTCAGAATGTCCCTGTCATACCCAGTATGAAACATGATTGAGCAGAGGCTCTATCTGTATTCCTTTGTTGAGGGCCTTTAGTTAGGTCTGGATAAGTGCTATTTAGGGAAAGAAGATAACTGGAAGATTTAGTAATTTATGGGATGGGAGTGGGGAGCATAACACCAGTTGTATAGAGAGGATTTTGTTCAGTTCAGTTCTGCTTCATACATGATGGCTTTTGCAAGCGCTTATCTATTCTGATAATCACTTCCCAAAACACCATTTCTTAATCAGTCCAAAAGTCTGCATGATCATAGACCACATTTCCACTCCTCTTCATGAGTATTTTTTGATGAAAATGGCTTTAAAGAATGTGACCCCTTTAACACCAAGCCATATATCTTTATCCTTAACGTGTGGTCTCAGTAATTTTATGAATATTTCTGAGTTTAGCTTGTGTATTTAACTTAAGTAAGTAGCTGTTTAATTTAAGTAAGTAAAAAGGAACTCATTGTTTTATATGACAATATACAGATTATGGCAAATTGGTGAAATAATAGCTAGATGCACATAGAAAGCATGTTACAGTCTATAATCACATTCATTCAAGGGTCTGGAAACTTAATTTAGCTAACTGGTCAATTTAGAGGAGGTTCCTGGTGGTGCAGTGGTTAAAGCACTCCTCTGCTAGCCAAAAGGTTGGCAGTTCAAATCCACCAGCTGCTCCACGGGAGAAAGATGTGGCAGTCTGCTTCCCTAAAGATTTACAGCCTTGGAAACCCTATAAGGCAGTTCTACGCTGTCCAGTAGAGTTGCTGTGAGTCGAAATCAACTTAGCAGCAAGAGGTTTGAGTTTACACTAGAAAGGTGAGTAACTGCTGGACTGGATGAGTCAGTTTGACAAAGGCTTTTC